TCGTCGTTGACGGTTTGGATGCGTGTGCGGACGTGGGATATGGGTGTCGGGATCGGTTGTGGATGTCAGTGTGAGTGTGGCTGAACGCACCACTAACAATCACATCCACACCCCATACCTTACATCCACACCCCACACCCCATACCTCACACCCACAACCACACCCTTCATGACACTGTCTTAGAATATTGGCAGACTTCTGAAGCTTTTTACTTTTCCTCTCACCGATTCCAGAGAGAGCAAAAACTATTCCCGTCACATAGAGATATGAGTCACTACCATCAATTTTTTCTCCGGCGTCTAACACATGAGGGTGTGGGTGTGGATAAATGTAAGTGTGGGTGCAGGATGGGTATGGGATATGGCTGTGGGCGTGGGTGATGTGGGCGAGAGTGAGGCTAGAGTATGGCTGTGAGGTGTTGGTGTGTATTCATAGAAAATCTATATTCACACCCACACCAAGATCTACAAAACCACATCCACACTAAAACCCCCACCTCATGCACACCCCCACATACACTTACACCCGTACACCCACACCCACACCCACACCCACCCACACCCACACCCCACACCCACACCCACACCCACACCCCACCCTAGCCACACCCACACCCACACACACCCACACCCACACCCACACCCTGTCTCTAAAACTTACACTTATTCTATTCTTCTTCGAAAAGAAAGACGTAATGTGAGTTCCACAAAAAACAAAAACAGTCAATAATTTTATCAACAATTGCTAATGATGATGGATTAGTATCAAATAAACTTTGAATATTCCCCAATTGAATAAGTGGAATATATTTTCATACCGAATGCTTTTCACATATATTCAAGACAATCGGAGAAAAGAAAACGAGTTAAATGTGTTTGTATTGCTGTTAATTCTTGTTGAAGTTCAATAACTTGAAATTTTTCTATATAATCATGATGTGCAGCAAGAAACTCGGACTAAAATTTAACGACAATAAAACGTACTTAATACTATCGGAATCATTTTCTTACTCAACAATTATCAATAATATGAACAATATTAAACATTGATAAATGTTTTTCCGTTTTTCTACTTTGTTCATTTAATTTTTTTTTTGCTATTTCACGTAATTTACCCAATGAGTCAATTAATAATTGATAATCAATATGTTTTATTGATGTATATTTAAGTAAACGTTGAATAAGTGTATCATTAAATACAGCTCAATATTGTTCACCTAATTCAATGTTATGTTCACGAATCTATTCGAAATAATTTTTATTTTTTACATTATCTATTCAATGAAATAAAATTACATTAAGATAAGCATAAAAACGAGGATTCTTTTTTTATCTAATGTATGAATCGCTTCCATTGTTTTAGCATAAAATTTTCTAAAATCTATTAGAAAAAAATAAAAGTTATATTAAAAATAATATTGGAATTGATTACAAAAAAATAGTTCATTCGAAAATGAAAGTAACGATCTGTATAGATGAGTTCATGTCATACAAGAAAATTCAACTAGTCCATCACTGTTGCAATTCAAATCCTATACGTGTCCGACTTCGATCGGATCACAAGAATACAATATGAATGATTAGTTCAGTACAGGGTTGTCAGATCTTCCGAATTTTGGTACTTTTTCCAAACTCTTTCGAATTTTGAATATGTTTTCGAGACCTGTTATTTCTCTAGATTCGAGATTTAATGACTTTGGTTATAACTTCTAATTCAACTTTTATTAGCAATTCTTGCGCTGTCGTTGTTCTACTGTAATCATTCCATAATACAATTTTGAGACTATTTATAATGTAAGATCGTTTGAATTTAAAATCTATCCGAACTCAATGAATATTTTGTATTGTTTAAAAAAAATGTCATTTGAATCAATAACTTCTTTGACAAGGACTGAACTTTAAGTTTAGAAAAGTGTTTTTTTTACATGAAAATTGTCTCTTGTTATCCTGAATTAAATTCAGCCATGAATGATGAAGATGATAATTCAGATATGAATTTAAGTGAGATTGAAGAAAGAAATAAGTATATCGGCAACAATTTTTGCACAAAGGTTGATCGAGCAACATATATGTCCATAAAAAAGGTGGTATATAATTATATTTGATAGTAAAACAACTGCTTTCCGAACTTTTTCCGAAGTAGAATATAAAAAATTCCTAATTTTTTCGAATTTTGGTTAAAACATTTCGATTTCTAACTTTTCGATCTGGCAACCCTGGTTTAGTACGAGAAGAATTCTATAATAGTCTATGAAAATCGAAATACGTCAAAGGTACCAAATCTCGTTAAACTCGATAACTTTTTTCTAATGATTTTATTCGACTGACAAACAAGCAGAAAAAGATTTATGCTTTCTTTTTGAAAACTATTGGTTAATTGCTGAGAAGCGAGTTCGTATTTCAGACTTTGCTATCATATCGAACAATCAAATAATGTTTATAGAAAAAGTATACATAGATTTTTTTCTTAAGTATATGACGAGTAAAAATCTTGGAAAAATATCGAGTCTGTTGGTACTTAATCATTTTATGATGTTTTTTTTTTGCAAATATAGTTTTTGTGACAATAACATTGGTCGAGTCTATTAACAACAGAATATTTTCACAAGTAACTCAACAGACGCTATAATTTTTTTTTAACTAGTAAAATATATTTCATTGAATAATTATCTTACTTGAATAATATTTAATAACATTGTAAAATTAATATTAATTTCATCCGATTTCTCTTATATTCCATTCCAATTAAATACTAATTATATATGTTAATATTTTGTTCTTTATAACAATATTGTCATCTAATACATACTCATTTTAATAGTTGTATTGAATAATAAATCAAGTAATGGACTATTAATCATATATTGATGATGAAAATAATAATAATAATGAAGAAATCTGACGATGTTGCTGTTTAATTATTAGTTAAATTAATTGTATACATGGATTTATCAACATTATTCATTAAACATAAAATTCTCCAAATCACTAAAAACATTATTATATATACATTTTTTAATCTTTTTTCTTTATTGATTAATACATACTTGTACATGAATAACAAATTATTGATCTTGATGTGTATAGAATAGATATGTCGATATCAATAAATGTTTATACAAAAGAAGAATATATCTTGTTTCATTCTTTTCTGTTGTAATAAATCCATCTAACAAAGAAAGATTTTTTCAAACTACTGTAATGAATTATTTTGATCTAAAATTTTGTTGATATTTAGATATGTTCATCCAAAAAGAATATTATTGTAAAAATTTAAGTGTTTAAAAACTTTCATTGTGTTGTTTTTTTCGACAGTCTATGAAATTGAATCAACTTTTTTAACAATAAGTATGTCTACTTAAGTAATAGTTCGTCTGATGTAATATATTTTGTATTTTATCATAACAAATAAAATAATTATACATAAATGTTGTTATTGAGTATCATTAATAAAAATAAACAAAAAAATTTCATTTTCATTCCAAATGAGATACAATCTAAAAAAATTCATAAATAAATCATTATATATGTTAATGTTAACAAGAGAGAAAGGGAAGAAAAAAGTAATATATGTGAAGAGAGTAATTTTCTTTTTCTGTTTTAGATTGGCCTCGATGATCCAAAACTAATCAAATCAAGATCAAGCCACACAATAAAAAAAAATGTAGGTATCAGTTTTACTTTTTTTTTATTTTACGATCACAAGGATGGTGGGATAAGGCCTACTTTGATCTTTTTATTATTTTTTTTTTATTTTAGGGAATAAACAATGAAGAAAAAGATAACATTAGGGTAAGTCATCTCATTCTATTTCATTAAATAACATTGATTAAATTTTTTTTCTATTCCTTTCAGCTATCACTATCATCGTGTCATCAACATCAAACGCGGTAAGTAATTCTTTTTTTTTTTGAGATGAGAATAGATAGTGAGATTGAGGGGTTAGGGTGAGACTAAGAAAAGTGAGTGTTAGTAGAGAGTGGGTGAGTTATGTTCGTTGAGGTTAGGTTTTTCTTATTTACAGGACTTCCGGGCAGTCCCTAAAAGCCCGGCCAGGAATCGTCTTGGTGTCCGTGGCACACGACCATGTTTATTCAGACTCATTGACATATCTCTCGCGGGGAGGGTATGAATGATATGAGTCTGTCCTGTGCGTGCATGAGCGTTACGCTCGCCACGGCTCCACCAGGATGGTTCCTGGTCGCGCGCGAATAGAATAGACATTCATTTCATCAATTCAACGTGATTTATTTGAAACGAAAGGAACGCAAAAAAAAAATCTATCACAACGAGTCTATTAGATTGAAAAGTGTTGAACACGATTATTTTCACGATCGGCGACATAGAGATTGCCATGTAGATCGAAGGACAAACCGATGGGACCGTTGAACTGATTTTTTCCTTTTCCTTCACCATTTCCACCCACAATGACAGTGCCCTGTTTCGCTTCTTTAGGCCAACGCATCACTCGATCATTTACCGCGTCTGCCACATAGATGGTACCCAATGTATCGACGAACAGTCCATTAGGATGCGACAATTGTGTCAGAGCATTCCCTTCGCCTTGGCCTCCAGCGACGACAATTCCTTCTTTTGCACCTTTATTCCATTTCATCACACGATGATTCTCGTTGTCTGACACGTAGACAGTCTGTTGTTGATCGACAAAGATGTAGTACGGATCGTTGAGTTGATTGAGACTAGCACCTTTGCCATTGCCACCAGCCACAATAGTTCCATTCTTGTCTCCTATTTGATATCGTCTTACTTCATGTTTGTTGGTGTCAGAGATGTAGAGATATCTCTGATCATCCATGGCCAATCTACTGCACTTGATGTTGTTGATGAGAATTTCTCCTTGAGTTGTGCCACTACGACGAGACCATCGAACGACTCGTTGATTCCCTAGATCACAAATAATGAGACTATCCGTCTCTTTGTCAATCATCACATTGGTTGGTCGATTCAATTGATCCAATCGATTTCCTTGGCCATTACCACCAGCTACTATTTGTCCATGCGTATCATCCATCTTCCATTGGATGATACGATGATTGTAGTAGTCAGCAATGACCATCGTTTGATCACCATCAACGAAGAGACCATTAGGCCAGTAGAGTTGGTTGGTGGCACTGCCTTGTCCATGGCCTCCAGCAACAGTCACTCCATTCTGTTTCCACCGGGCATCGGCTGGAATATTGGGAATTACTACAATGAACAAAAAAGAAAAGAAATCGTCGTTGTCGAAGGGATCTCGTCTCTCGTGAGAGCAAGCGCTACAAATACGATATTCGTCTTTGAAAATGCTCGTTCCGCAGATAAAAATTCAGAAGATTTTTCCTAGTTTCTTATGAGAAAAAAAGGATTTGGTAACGATTCTTACATCTATGTCACTGTTAGTTTTTGCCAAGATCTTTTTGATTGTAAAAACAACATCTGGAGATTGCTGTAAGGAGGTTCTCCAAGAAAGAGTAATACTAATTCCATGTAAGTTTTTGATAGAAAAACATAAGGATCTGAGGATTTTTTCAGAATTGCAAGAATTTAGAATCTTTTTGGCAGAATGATCATTTATATGAATATCAGAGAAGATTCTATCTACGTGTTGTGAGAAGAATATCGAATCGTTGAACAACATAATATCAAACCTAATCCCTATGTTTTTTAGGAAACCTTACGGATACATGATTTTTCTGTACGATGAATGTAGATCTGCCGAAGAATCTCCTAAGTATTTGCATAGGCTTTTGATAAGTTATGTGATGCTGTTCGAAGAACAACCGTGATGTACTCTGAGCAAGATCATGAGAAGGTTTGGATACAGGCGAAATTGAACAAAGTTGAGAGGATTCCATGCAAATCTATTTAATCTGAGGGGACTTCTTCTTTTACAAATGCTGAAAAGATGGATGTCAATCCGAACGGAGTTCTCCAGTGACAAACATTGGGATCTATGGATTTTATGGGCTTTGAAAATCTAAAAATAATGTGTATCTTCTATGAGGATCATGCTATAATCCTTATGTAGTACTTGGTCTGAGAAGTTTTCTGTAAGCTCACATGTTATGGATATGTTCAGGAGGATCTGAAGAGTAAATATTTTGAAATGGTTGATATCAGAGATGGGCAATTTCAACTCTAAAGTTGATGCTTTTTCTCATCGGAGTGAAAGTAGTGTAGGAACAGGACAGGATGGAGGTGCCTATCTTTAAATTTTATGAGAAAGTTTATAAACCAATAAATTAATATGCAGCTATTTGATATCAATCGTAGATTTACTTATGTTCAAAAACTTATGTGTATTTAAGAGTGTTTTGGTAGAAGTTCAGTTGTGTAAAATCCGACTCGAATTGAAGTTAAATTGGAGTTGGAGAAAGACAGTGTAGTTGCTCATCTCTGTTTAGTACACAAATGTCGATCCCAATCAATAGCCAGGACAACTTCTCTGGAATATTTGACTATAAATGAGACAGTATTTCTGTAACGTAGTCTTTAAAAAAAAAAGCACATCGTAAGGAAATGCTTTTGATGTCGTGGAAGAGAAAACTGCTTAACATGAAATTCTAAGAAGATTTCCATGTTCTAGTTTAGTATTAGAATTTGAGAAGGAGATCTTACGATTCTTATTGTGACATAACATCTTTCAAGTAACAATGCTGTAGTTCTAGACTTATCAGAAAGTAAAAGCTTTCTCTCTCTCCTTTACTTCGATTCAATCACAACTCGACAAGGAGGGAATAGTTTTTCAGAGTGACTTACAATATATAAAAATTATAGTACTTTTTTTGTAGAGCTTGAAATATTATTGTATTTCGTATAGACAAGCCTTAGTTTTGAATTTTCTCTGTCTGGATAAAAATTGAAGGAAAACGAATATCATTCGCCTTTTAGTCTGACTTTTTGTAAATTGTATTTCAAATAATTTATAAACAGCTCATCTATTTTCACTGAAATTTTTTAATATATAGGTATATTTCTTGGTGTTGCATAATCATTTAAAGATGGTCCAAAATATGTAGTGTTTTACGGCTAGCGCGCACCCAAGCAGACAGATATGCGGGATTTTGACATCTTTTTGAACAAAAGTATCGCCTTTTAGTCGATTTTGTATGTTTTTTTCTACTTTTTTTTATGCACAAAACTGATTGAAATGTTATTTCTAACGAAAAACACTCATTGTGCATAAGAAATTCAAATTTTTAGGTGAAAATGAGATACATTTTTTTTTTATCAAAATTTTTTTGTGAACAACTTTTTTTCACATAAAACAAACTTATGTTATCTTCATCCTTCCTCCTTAAAATGAACAGAATCGCATCAAAATCTTTGTTGTCTGAATTTTCTACTGCTTCAAGGTATGGTATGTAGAAGCTGGAGTATTATATCAACTGAAAGTGCATTACTATATTTAAATAAGTCTACCGCATTTTATCAGAAAAAGATTTAGGAAAAACTCACGGCTTATTGTCTATACCTCCATTCATTGACTATTACATTTTCACCTTGGTACTCATGTAAAGGATACCTCAAATGCAAACAATTATTCTTGTTTTTTTTTCTGAAAATCATGTACATAGACACCAATTGGAAAGGTGAAGACGCTATTCATCAGATTGTTTAACAAATGAAACATAAGCAGCTAGGCGATGTTCTCTTTGATTATGAAATAACAGGCGTCTTTTTTAGAAAATTTAATTTGATAGTTAAACAGTCTAAATTATATATTTTCTTAAAAATTTAACGAAAACAGAAGGAATGCCAAATGTTCTACATATTTTCAAAGATCTAGCAGAAAACTTTTGGCATCATTAATTATAAAGGAAGAGAATGCAAAATAGTAAAAATGTTAATTATGAGCTAC